AGAAAATAACAACTCTTACAAATAATGAGAGAAAATTATTAGCAGCAGCTGCTGAAGGAGATTTAGGAACATTATTTAGTATGATTTATGAAGTTGGTATGAGTCCAGGTACTCCACTGGTAGCCGGTATAACTCCATTAATGATAGCAGCTTCCTGTGGACACATTGAACTAGTTGAGGCACTTATAAAAGCTGGAGCTGATGTTAACAAAAGAAATGATGATGGAATGAATGCACTGGATATAGTGAATGATATCAGCTTTTATGATCGATCTGATATTGAAGATTTCTTAATTTCTAACACTCCAGCTGGTGAACCAGATCCAGTATCAAACAATGCTGAGTCAACTAATAAAAAACCCAACACTGTTACTGCAATCAAGTCAATATTTGGCATGTTTAATTCATTTATGAAGAAAGCTTATGACCCATACCATAGCAAGAAAAAAGAACTGAAGATACCTCATGGAAGAACTAATACACAATTCAGCAGTGACAAGTATTGATATGTCACAGTTTGTGTCTTAATCAATGATCGATTGTTTAACTTTAAAAGTATATGTAGTGAACTTTTATTATGTTGTAGTACTAGAGACGTAAATGTTAAATGTACATGTACATGTGCATGTTGTTTTCATGCTTTTAATTTTAAATGATATGTACATGCATGTAGATGTGTGTCTAATTGTCAAGTGTACATGTACATTATAGTTATGATTAACATTGTAATTGATCTTTTGATTTTCATTATTAGCTGATTGATAGTCTAATGTAACAGTATTTTATGTGTGATAATAATAGTTACTTTTGATTGCTATTAATAAAATTTAAAAAATTAAACTTATAATCTATCAACGTACAGTACATTATATGAATACATGTTACATATGCTATTAATGTTATGATTCTGTTCCTCCACTTCTTGTTATTCTTTGAATACTTTCAAGTGCATCAATAGCCTCCAGTGAACTCTCACATACACTATCAAACTTATCCTGCAACTAATAACAACAATAGTAATACAAGCAGTAAAATAAAACAGATAAGATGTGATTATTATAATTATTATACACCAAGGTAAAGGTTTTTATGGCATTCGAAGTCATCTGCTAAATGTATGATGTACATGTATAATGTACCTATGGTTCTACCCTAGAAGCTATCTTGTTTCTATATTATGTCAGTTATTTAATAAAGAAACCTCTATGGCTCTACATGTACTTTATGTATAATCTATAGTCACTCACTTTTTTCAACAGTTTCCCTCCTTCTCTTGTAACTCTCTTAGTTTCTTTATTATTATTTGCTGACTCATCAGTTTTTATCACGTATCTTGACTCTAGCATGTCTGCTAGGTTTGTTTCTATGGTAACCTCATGAGTCTTCACATCAGTCAGTACAGTTTGTATCAATTCTTCTTTTCTACTCACAGCTGCTCTGTCATCATAAACCTCTTGAACTGACTCCATTGTAGAAAAGAAACACCATATTAAATGGAATGATCAATGAGACATTGTTAATTGGTGAATCAATGATCATTGCATTTAATGGTGTTTCTTTTCTCAATGTGAGCATACAGTGTACTATACATATACATGTACATTATGGTACAGTATTAATGTATGCAT